AAACTAGCATACGAACGTAAGACTCTGTGTCTGTGTGCGTGCGCGCGTGTGTGTGTGTGATTTGGATTTTAATTTTTCAGTAATATCGTTGCGCTGCCAGTAATGTGACAGTTTATAGTGATGCTTAGCACTGGGGTATCAATCCGCAGACATAGAGCATGATGTCCCACCCAGTCACATTATCCTGACACCAGGCCGACCAGTCCTAACACTAGCCTCTTAATGATGAGCGCCAAGCGAGGCAGCTGTTAGCATCATTTTAAAAGTCTTTGGTATGACTCGGCCGGTGTTCGAACCCGAACGTAAGACAAACACTTAATGAAATCGATAAAGATACAAATACTAACAATTGCAAGCGAAAAAAAAAACACAGATCAAGCAGACAATAGTTCAAAAAGCAACTTTTCCTCCCTTTCGTTTCCTTTTTTAATTTATTTTTCTTTTTCTTCCTGTACGAGCCTTTGCTTTATTTCATAGTGAATTAACCTGAAGTGGGACATAATCTTGTGATCTTGTCAAGCACACCCAAAGGGACATGACCACCAATGCCTCAAAATTGACAGAAACGAATTTATAAATGAGGTTGGTGAGGACTAAGAGGTATAGGCATGTCACTCCCACTAGGGGTAATGGTGTGTTTAGCCACCCACTACTCACCTACCCCACACACGCCTACATCGAGTTCTAAGAAAAATACAATAACATTTCTTTCTTTATTTATATATTTATTTATTTCTTTATTGCCTCACATATAAAATAGAAAAATGGAAAACCTTGCAACTTATTTGTTCAATATAGGTCGGTGCCGACAAACACAAAATATGGGTAAATAACAAAAAACAACAAAAATAGAAACAATAATAATAAAACAATAAAAAAATAAATATACCACAAGTCTGCTATATACATTAAAAGGAAAAATATATATCTATATATAGCAAGGATCACATAATAACCTTCAAAACAGGGCGAGGAAACCGGCCAAATGGTGTAATGCCTGATAAAGAGTGCAGAAGCCAGTTTAAAATAAAATGTTGTTTTGGGGCTGAAAAAAAAATTTGAAATATGAAAATGGCAATCCAAACAAATATGTCCCTATCAATAAAAAAGAAGAACCAACCAAAATATACTTAAAATAAATTTGTCTAAACCAAAATTAGTTTGCGAAAAATACCCACATATACAGAACATAAATTAAAATTTTAAATTTCGATCCAAGGTAGTCGCCTCAAAGATCTGCTGGTTTATCATAGCTTGAGATCGGAAAGGTGTCCAAACTAATAAAGAATCACGGATACAGCAATGATCATTACTGATCAGTACTGAACAGTTAGGATGACAAGTCATTTCAAAATAGCTAATTGTAATGTACATCTTATACAGGGTGACGTACGATAGATCAGTGTCGTATATTTTAAATTTGACTGCTATTTTAGACTCTTGCATTAACATAATAATCAATATAATTCGTTATTTTTTCAGTGGATTATTTAAAGACCTGAATATGATCTTAAAAATGACGTTTTATGAAATTGTGTATGTTTATCTGATACTAAACACGGCTAAAGCGTATCTGTCGTTAAACAAGACACAAAGGCGAAGGAGGTGCAGAATCAAGTCCTAGTTAAAGCAGATAATTTTTTAATAAAGATAGGCAATGCAATTTATACTTATGCACAGCAAATGGACACTAACATCTACACTCACATATACTAACATCTACATGTCGTACCAATACCTATCAGCACTGCCAGTGCTTGTGTGAAAAATATATACAATTAAGAGGTGTCGTAAATTGGAACATATTTTCAAAGACATATTTGTGTATCTAACGCCTCATGCGGATTGCTTGCTAAAAAAATGCACCTCTAAGAGAAAATGTATGTATGTATGTATGTATGTATGTATGTATGTATGTATGTATGTATGTATGTATGTATGTATGTATGTATGTATGTATGTATGTATGTATGTATGTATGTATGTATGTATGTATGTATGTATGTATGTATGTATGTATGTATGTATGTATGTATGTGTGATAAATTGGTGGCGTTCAAAACACACCAACCTCTTCCACTAAGGTTCTTTGCAAGGGAATGACCTCCCGCGGTGTAATTTACCCAGTGTGGATGGCTAGAAAGAAGAATGCAGATCTCTGAACAAGTATATTAAAGAAATAAAAACAACGAACCCCCTTTCAATGAACAAATATACAATTTAATCAGTTCAACAACAGAATGGAAGAAATCAATTTCTTGGTTTAAAAAAAAAGAAAATTGTCTTAACATGTACTCAAATAAAAAACAGTACAAATTTTCACGATACAATTACATGTCAGTGACAGAATTAATTCAGTTTCGTCATAGCCTACGAGTCGTGACCTTTGAGTTCAACGATGAGCGACATCATCACCTATCTTATCCGGACATCGAATCTTCCGTTCGTCCCTGCACTACCAACCTTTGTCTAGTCGTCTGGACCTGGACTCTTGCCAGTCTAAACTTGAGTTGACGATCGTCTCGAGACCTGGACTCCGGCTGGGGAATTCTCCGGATGAATGTATTTGGAATTTACACAGGATATTGTCAGGAAGTTTCAGGAAATTTCAGGAAACTGTTTTCTTTACCGTTTTTTATTCGTTTTCCACGAACCTCCAACGTATAGTCTGTCTCTTATCTGAGACGACTATCTGGCCCCTTATTCAATCACGGGAATGACATACTTCTACGTTAGCCTGGAATCCTTTCTAACTTCTTGCAAGTAAGATTGAAGACTGAAGAATTTTATAAAGCAAAACCCCTAATTCCTTGCAAGTGTTACGCCCTTAAGTTTCAATTAACCAATCTGAATCGACTGTTTCCTAAATCTTCTACGTAGAATTTTTGATTGACAAAACAGCTAATCATGCCGTAATTAAACGTTTCTTTGAACAATCAATTATTGACGAGCTTCCCCTTTTAACCGGTCGAGTTTTGAAAGAGTGTTATGCCAAAACCCTTGTTCCATAACAAGTGACTCGGTCAAGTTTCGTCGGGTGGAACGAATTTCCTTTGACATTCAGAGATGAAATGAAAATAATCATATAACTGTCTCTAGCCGTTTCTACTTTAATTAAGTTGACTTTAGTACAATTCATTTAATCAATACTTCTGAGAGTTTTCAAAATTTGACACATCACAGTATGTATGTATGTATGTATGTATGTATGTATGTATGTATGTATGTATGTATGTATGTATGTATGTATGTATGTATGTATGTATGTATGTATGTATGTATGTGTGTGTGTGTGTGTGTGTGTGTGTGTGTGTGTGTGTGTGTGTGTGTATGTATGTATGTATGTATGTATGTATGTATGTATGTATGTATGTATGTATGTATGTATGTATGTATGTATGTATGTATGTATGTATGTATGTATGTATGTATGTATGTATGTATGTATGTATGTATGTATGTATGTATGTATGTATGTATGTATGTATGTATGTATGTTTAACGGAAAATCAGAGTAGGAAATGAGCACAAAATGGTTATATAATGCTGAGTGAAAGGTAAGTGGCACTAATGGCAAAAGAAAAGTTCTTGCCAATTCCACAGGAAAACAAACTTCTTCAACCAAACTTTCCAGGTCGACAAACTTTCCTCGCCAAACTCAAACAGGCAGCATGTGACAAAACCCTTTCTAAATCTTCAGGAAGACAAACCTTATCAACGAAAAATCAAGCATGTTCCATATGGCAATGGGGAAAAGTTACTTTTTGCAAAATTTTTTGAAATTTACTCAATAGTTCCACTCGTTTTCTGTATGGTGACACATTGAGAGGTTCAATCGTTTTCTGTATGATGACACCTGTTAAGAGATCTACACACTTTCTATATCATGACACATGTTAGGAGGTCCACTCGTTTTCTATATGATAACACGTTGAGAGGTCCACTCGTTTTCTATATGATAACACGTTGAGAGGTCCACTCGTTTTCTCCATGATGGTACGCTAAAAGGTCCACTCGTTTTCTGTATGACGACACATGTTAAGAGGTCCACTCGTTTTCTGTATGATAACACGTTTCTATATAACACGTTGAGAGGTCCACTCGTTTTCTATATGATAACACGTTGAGAGGTCCACTCGTTTTCTCTATGATGGTACGCTAAAAGGTCCACTCGTTTTCTGTATGACGACACATGTTAAGAGGTCCACTCGTTTTCTGCATGATGACTCGTTAAGAGGTTCACTCGTTTTCTGTATGACGGTACATTAAGAGGTAGACTCGTTTTCAAAATGACACAAATTAATCCTTGAAGCGATTTCAAAGAACGGACAATTTTATGACGTGCTGTATTCTAAGCCAACAAATAAATAGATTTAGAGAAGAAGATGAATACCCTACAGCCTAAAATCTAGTTATAGTTTCTGTTTTGCGACGTTCATTTACGTTAAATTTATTCTTTATCTACTACAATTCCTTGGACCTTCATAAGTTTGCAAATGAATACTCCACCTTTATTCTTCTCTTCCCTTTTATTTTTATGGCGCTTAAATATATTGAGTCAACGTGTAAACAATCAAAATATTTATACTTTTAGCGTGAAAGACTAAGGAATATTGTCAAATAAATTTAGGCAGAACGGCAGTTAACGTGTATTACGCACGATTGCGCGCGATTAGGTAAACAAATTATTCCCGTAAGAGTACACTGTTTTTCCTTGAAGTGCTATCAATCATCAAAAGGGTCAACCAATGGAGAAAACATTCTTTTTACATCACTTCTTACCACGTCGCAAACCCCCACCCCCATCCACAAACAAATGGAAAGAAAAATGCACCTAGTGGACAGTTATCATTTCGTAAATAAAATAATGTCTAAAACAGCTGACCAAAGTAGATAGCATGAATTCAAAAGTTGAGAAGAAGGCATTGATGAGTCTTTTCAAGAGCAAATTACATCAATTTTACCGAGAAGAAAAGAAAAATGATCAACAGAATCAGACCGCTCCGGTGGTCTAGTGGTTAGAGCGTCAGCTTCGGATTCGGAAGGTCGCGGGTTCGAACCACGGTCGAGATATGCCAAAGACATTTAAAAATGATACGAACAGCTGCCTCGCTTGGCGCTCAGCAATAAGATGTTAGTGTTAGGACTGGTCGGCCTGGTGTCAGGATAATGTGACTCGATGTAACATCACGCCATATGTCTGCGTCATGATGCCCCAGTGCTAGACATCACTATAAACTGTCACACTGCAGACATCGTAGAGATATGACAGAAAAATTGTTAAAGCTACGTTAAAAATCTAAATCACACAAATAAAATCACACATCTAAACTCGCTTATAAGTCGAGCCAAACTGCAAACAAAAAGATCCCAATTTGTAGTAGCATAATAACCTTCAGATCAGGGTCTATTTTATTTGTTCTACTGATTATACCTAGCAAACGACACAGACCCAATTCAGCCTTTACATTACGCGACAGCATATTTGGATAAGTGCAGTTATTGCAACTGAACTCGTTCTATATGCGAATATATACGGAACAAAAAAATTTAACATTTTATCGTTTTTGTCGAGTGGTCTAAAGCGTTCACATTTACAAATTACTACAATCTCACATCTGTCCACGTGGGTTAGGGTCTAGGGCATGATCAATAATGGCATTTGAGAAAGCTTGCCCGTGTGTTGATGGTTCTTACCGGGGTTTTCCTGGATTCTTTTTTTTTTCCTCCACCGTGTATAGCCTTTCAAGTGCTTTGAGATGGCATTAAAATCACCACCACAACATCCTCCCTTCCTTCTAGAAGCGAGTGTTCACTATTAAAGAATAAAAATTTTTAATTCATAATACCTTATAAACAAAGTCTGAGAATTTATTGTAAACCTTGCAATAATGTAACTCCAAAGGTAATGTTTAACGCAATGTTCAGTTTTAAATACTTTCCGCCTATACTATATTCCAGTAAATTTTCCAAATCTTGATTTCAACTTGCTCTCATAGAAACCGAGTTTAGAATATAAGTCGACCTCTTTTATCTAATAAGTTACATGAATGTAATGTCAGGTCTGCATGTAAATCAGTCTGATCTAATTATTTTGTGTGTGGTCTTTTTAAGGAAAGAATAAAGATTAAAGCACTTTCAAATTTCTATACTAGTTCCAGTTATATTTATATTATTGCAAAACACTTCTAATGCTGATTTCGACTATCACAAATGTGACTTGACTGGTTTCAAGACATTTTATCAATAGGGTACAATCATATGATTAACAATTACATGTACATACAATTGTTTTGATTACAATCAAGTATTATGAACCAGCTAACATAAGCTGATTTATATTCACATTTTATACTATTTTCATATTCACATTTCATAATCATTTCATAATCACCTTAACAAAAGGTCTAAAAGTGTACATTATTGTATACGAATTTACCAAATCTCTCTCTCTCTCTCTCTCTCTCTCTCTCTCTCTCTCTCTCTCTCTCTCTCTCTCTCTCTCTCTCTCTCTCTCTCTCTCTCTCTCTCTCTCTCTCTCTCTCTCTCTCTCTCTCTCTCGTGATGCTGCATGTGGATGTATTTCACCAAATTTACGTCTCACTATTCATAAAACCTGTTTTGATTTTTCTTATTATCCACTCATCTCCGGTGTCGACAACAACACGTGCCAATGGTGAAGCTATGTCTGGGTAACAGAACTTTGCCCACTCTCGTCGTTTGTATGATGTTTAATAAGTTTACCTAATCATTTGGATCATAGCGAGAAATGCACCTCAACCTTTGCATCATGCAGCCACACCCTTTTAATAATAAATGGCGGTTGGCATTGCATTGCGCCATACGTCTCGCATTATTACTATAGACTGTTGAATGTGTACATTTGTATGAGTAAACATGGACTGCATTTGATTGGATCAAAGACCAAATAAGTGTATGAGGAAAACAGCTCGTGTCCAATCCCAAGGTTTTATGGTGCGTTCAGTACCATCCGTAGCTCTTTCGTGGATTTTTTCTTTGATTTTCTTTTTTTCTTCTTCTTCATTCTAAGTATTATTTAAATTGACATTAATCTTTACAAGATCGTTTTCTATGTAGCATGGTTGAAGAATTTTTTATTGACTCTTTAAACGCTCTTCTGGTTTACGCTAAGAGTAGAGACTGACGAATTGTTTACAATGATCTCTGTATTTTTCCCTCCGCGAGTTGCAGAATAGCACACGGAAAATTATTCGCGCACTGTAGGACAAGAACGCGGCAGAAGAGTCCAATCAATTTCGTGTGCTTTAGGAGATATCCCATTCTAGTAACATCATCAACTCAGTCCCCCATCTTTGGATACGTATAATGCAGTAATTTGAGAGAGTGTTCAAAAGAAAGCTTTTCAGAGGCTTATTTGCATCATTATTCAAGAAATAGCGATTATTCTTTAGGGATCTTTTCGAACTCTAGGGATTAACAAGAAAAGTAAGATTGTTACTACGGGATTCTCTATTTTCATAAGCTAAAATTAGCCAGATAAAACTGAATCAGTCTTTTTTAAACTTACATTCTTGGTCAAAATAAAGGATTATAATAGAAGTACACCGAGCTGACCATATTGAGCTTACGTTTGAGATAGGACTCTTTGTCAATATGTCGGAAGGAATGTCGGCAAGTTTTGCTTATGTTATCCTTTATAAATATAAAAGAATGCCAACAATCTAGCTTTATGTGTCATTTTGTAAATCTAAAGAAATGCCATATATTTTTCCTATATGTCCTTTTCAAATGAATGGTTCCCTACCAAAGAGAGAAAACGTTTCTATAGTTACTTCCTTAGCTACAACACTAAATTGACATCTGCTGTTACATATAGGTTTTGTATCGATGACGGATAATACAAAATATGACATTCTTTTCAATCCTTGACATCCAATTAATATATTTCCTTAAGGCCGTAAATCCGTCTCTACCGAAAATTTCAACTACGTGTTCTCATTCCACAACTGCCTGAACCTCCAGTGGTTTAAGTGGCTTGAGCGTCCGCGTTCGAACCAAGGCCGAACCATACCAAAGACTTATAAAAATGGAACTATCAGCTAACTCGCTTGGCACTCAGCATTAAGAAGTTATGTTTTGGACTCATCGGCCTGGAGTCAGGATAATGTGACTGGGTGGGACATCATGCTACATGTTTGCGGGATGATGCCCAGTGATAGACATCACTATAAACTCCCCCAGTGCAGATACCGTATCAATATGGCTACCGTAGTTAAAGTTGCCTTGAAAATCGTCTACTCCACCCCATCCCCATACACACCGAAAGAGCCAGGTATTTATTTCAGTACTGAGTGTTCCTAAGTTAAATATAAACAAAAAATACATTGAATCAGAACATTGTGTCTAGTTTTCTAGTACAAAAACGAATAATCTGTCAAACATTATTTTTTAAAACTTTAATTTTAAACTCATATCTAAGCAATTTTATGTTCACAACTCATCTCTAGACTGGTTCCCATTTCTCCTTATAATTAGCACCATGACTCCTGTGTCCTGCCTTGATTACTGGACAAACATTAGTAGCGAGCAGCAGTTAACAGTGAACAGTTCTATTTGTCAAAGATGACATTAGTGAATATTAAAACGTACTGGAAGTCCATACATACCACTATCAAAAATGGCATGTTTCAGGTAACATTTAAATATTTTACGTTTGTCTCACAAAAACGGAAGAAACGTTTTGAGATAAATCTAATCAAAAGCTTGCTTTCGTTATTTCTCTCTTAGATTTAAGACTGAAATACTTTATCTGCATCATCGTATTATGCTATGAAATGAGTAAAGGGTCCACGTCACAATCTATATGCGTATGCATTATTTCAATAATAGAAGTTTAAATATCAGAAATTATTTAAAATCCCCCAGAAATCAATTTAAAAATGAAATGAGGTAGGTATTAACCAATTTAAACACAAAATATAAAATTCCAAATCTTTCACTGAATAAAACCAGAGGGTCGTCAAGATTAGGAAAGGTACTGTAAGTGATCTAAACTGAAGCATAAACTTACAAAAGACAGCCAGGGAATATTAAATTGGTAACCATAATTACTTCATAAATAGTCAACTGTGTAACATTTATATATTTGGTTGCATAGATAGCAACCAATGTGCAACCCTTCCCCCCACTAACATAGTCAAATATAAAAACTGTACCTCACCACCACCAGCACGACATGGAAACATATATTTGTGGAAATGTCTTTAATTTTCCTCGTAAAATCTGGTAAATTCAAGTGTTTTTGTATTTCATTCACACCAAAAATATTGCATTCATAGACAATTCTAAATTCGCACGTGAAACCATGAAAGGCTTTTGTTTTCTACAGGACTCACAGTACGCATTCCACACCCATATTAAATCTATGGAAACACCATCATATTACAAATAAATAACTTTAAATATCTAAATATTCATCGTCATCAAATAGATGCACCTCAGTATAGTACAAGTCGCCATATTTGTTTTAATCTGCATCTACATGAAAAACGTATATCCCATTCCAGATGCGACTAATCAAGTTTTAGTTTTATTAATGAGTGTTCATAAGGCAGGCTTCTAAAAGACAGATTAAATCAAAGGCACTCGGTTGCTTTTTATAAGGATAAGCTAGAAACATAGTTTTTACTACAACTTACTTTTCATTATCATGACCACCCAAATTCGTAGGTACTCTATTTTATCTTCACTCCTTTATAGACTGGTCCACTTTTATAGATATAGTTAGTATTGCGAGTCTTATAGGAACGAAAGTAATCGTTTAAAACTATCTCGTAATATATGGCTTTTTCACGGCCGGGACAAACATATATGTGACCATTTTAATTAGTTTCTGTACTCAGTAAATTATGTCCCGGCACAAGCAGCTCCTTTCTGACAAGATAGATCGTTGATGTGCAGTTACTAATATCAAGGCGTGGCAACATTTTAAACTAATTGCAATAATTTTAGGCGAAGTCATGTCTTATCCTGATATGGGATATAATGAGTCGGTAAAGTGAATATGGACACGGGAACCAGATGGGTTTATC